GGCAGTTGTTGCAGCCCCTCAACTCTTCCACTTGAGTCCCCTGTCTTTTTTCCCTCTCTGTGTGTCACGTAGTCTGTATTAATTCCCTAAACTAGGTTGTTACTTTCAGAAGTGATGGAAGATGCTATCCATGTACCAGTATTAAAGGAGACAATCCAGTTGACTTCTGTATGTGGAGTAGGTAAAAGTAAAGGTTCCCCTTGACTTTTAGTCCAGTGGTGTCTGACTCTAGGGGGCAGTGCTCATCCCCGTCTCCAAGACGTAGAGCCAACGTTTGTCTGTAGACAGTTTCCGTGGTCACATGGCCAGTGTCACTAGTCACGGAACGCCATTACCTTCCCATCATGGTGGTACCTATTTATCTACTCACATTTACATGCTTTCGAACTGCTAGGTTGGCAGGAGCTGAGACAAGCGATGGGAGCTCACTCCATTGCGTGGATTCGATCTTACGACTGCTGGTCTTCTGACCTTGCAGCACAGAGGCTTCTGCAGTTTAACCCGCAGCGCCACCACATCCCATGTGGAGTAGAGGAGGTACCAATTTGTCCTCTGCCTCAGACAGCTCAGTGTCTAGGACCAGGCCTGTATCTTTGACAAGATAGCAAGGAGGACAGCTCCATTTGGTATTTTTCCATATATGGCTGTTTTCATTCACACAGAATTTATGTTTTCAAATATGTGGGATTACTCTTCCCTTCCAGTTGGAGCAGTCCAGCCTCTAAAATCTTTACCGCACACTTCCTCTGATTGTAAGAGATAGTTCTTCCTAATTCTTCCAGTACGTCTACAAGCTCAACTGTTATAATCATCGTCACCCCTATTACAGCTAGCAGCCCTGAGAGTGAGAAAACGGTGGCTTCCCTAAGGCCAGTAGTTCCCAACCTTGGATCCCCAGGAGTACTTGGACTACAACTCCCAGAAATACTTGCCAGCAGAGTTAGTGGGGAAGTTTTCTGGGATTTTTAGTTGAAGAATATCTGGGGATTCAAGACATAGAACTACCTCTTAAGGAGAATTGCCCAATATGAGATGTGAACTACAGGTGACCAGGCTCAAGACACCTATTCAGTAGCTACTGATCTAGGCCTGGAGAACATTTGACATTGTCGATATTGATAAACTGCCATTCTCTTTTGATTAGTCAGGCTGGCTAGGGTTGATGAGAATTTGAATCTAATAACAGCTAGATTTCTCAGCTAAGCTCGGAGGGTATGAAAAAGGCAGTAGCTAACTCAAGGTTCACTCAGCCTTCCAGCCTTTCAAGGTCAGCAAATTTAGTACCCAGCTTGCTGTGGGTGGGAACAATGTGTACCCTGCATAACTAAATTGTAAACCACCCAAAGAGTGCTTTAAGCACTATGGGGCGATAAATAAGCAATACACTTTACATTAAGTAGAGAAATGTTTGAAAAATGAGATCTATCACTGTGGGCATTAGCTATACAGTATTCTTAAAATGTTTGTCGACTCGTAGCCAAAAATGAAATTCTCTTGGTTCTGCTCACTGTCTGGTAAGACTGAGTCACCTGTGATCTTCCAGATGTTAGATTCCAGGTCCCTAGAATCTGGGAGACCCTGGTTAGGGCTAAGGAATGCAAGAGCTGTGGGCCAGCAACATCTGCAGGGCCACATTTCCCTCATACCTTCCCTATATTCACACCCCTCGCTTTTCACTGTTGCTGCCGATGGGCTGTTGTGAATATCCCAGGTTTATATTCACATTTCATTCAAAGAGGTTGGCATACATAATCGCCTGTCAACATTTTATCCTCACAATAACTGTGTGAATTAGATTATCTCCTTCTACTCTAGCCCTTCAGCCACACTGTCTTTCTATACAGCAGGGATGGTAAACTTGTGACTCTCCAGATGTAGATGCTATAACTCCCATCATCTTTCACTATTGCCTATTCTGACTAGGTACAATAGGACAGGCAGTTGTAAAACATCTGGAGGGCTGTAGGTTGTTCACCGTTGCTGTCCAGGTTTACATTCATGAATGATTTTGAGTTTGACAGCATTTTTTTTTAAAACAATGGACAGAATGCTAGATTAACTCTTTGTTCATCATTATAATGCTAAACAAGATCTGTGGAAGAGTTCCCCCCCCCAGCTGTATTTTTATATCCTGATTGGCAAGCACATTTCTGGCAAGCAGAAGTATTTTTAACCTTTGTGAGATGAAGGAGATAACGAAAATGCTGAGTTACTGACATGCCTGAGCATCAAGAATGCTTTTTCATCAAGTCCTTAAATATTTGTGTCTAATCTGGTCCCGTTCCAAGTTTTAAACCATTAAAGAGAACTTGAGCTCTTAATCAAAGCCTCCAAGATGCAGGAACCTTCTAATCATGGTAAGCTTTACTGCCTGGCTGTTAACCCAAAGCTGACACTCTTGATCATTGTTGACAAGACCTGGAACCCATCCTTGGAGCCAATGAGGCATATACTTCAAGATTTTTCAAGTGTTTCTTGAATCTCCTATGTGAAGCACCCCCATTTCACTTTACAGTAAATGGGAACAGAAAGGAAGGGAGGGAGGAGAGCAAGAGAGAGTGTGTGAGAGAGAGTGATGTTGTTACTTTTTAAATGGTATCTCCAGCCTATGCTTCCTTTTATATTCATCTTAGAACTGCGGAGCTGGAAGGGACCCTACAGATCATCATGTTCAGCCCCTGTCAAGGAGGCTCAGTGGGGAATTGAACTTCTTCAGTCAGATGTTTAAACCACGGAGCTATCCAGCAGTTCACTTTTTCCACCACCTCCTCCTCCTTTCTCGCCTAATAGACGATAGCAAAGGGAATTTTTTCTTTTGGCAGAAGCTTGAATGTTTTTGAAATCCGACTGAAGGCCACATGCATTTAGGCCAACAGCCATAGGTTTTGCACCCTTGTTTTAAAAGAACATGCTGTGTTTAGTCTTTAGTCCTCTGTAGGTGACTAGAAACATATTAACCTGAAAGCTGTAAAGGGAGAGAGTTCTAGCTGTGACTGTCTAAAGAGGAGAGATTTTTTCAATGTAGATTCCCACCATTTTCAGAAAGGCAGCATGTCAGGGTCTGTGCTTGGGCAAGTGGCACTATTATAAGAGAGACTTCAGTCTGTCACTCCTCACATGGAAAATGACAATGGAGAAGAGAAGGGCTAGCTACCTCTCTCCCACGTCTCACATGTTCATAATAACTCTTTCTGAATGCCTGAATAAGGCCAAAGCCTCTCCTGCTTGCAAATTAATTCTGACCAGAATTCTAACTTGCCAGATATTCCAATTTAAAATAATTTTTAAAATGGCTCCGTTTTTGTGTTCATTCGCAATGAGTCTTCATACATGTGAAGATCACGCAAGTGATGACCTTCCATGTTGAAAACAGGTTTACAATTCCATGTATAGTAGTAACCCACAAGCGTCCTGATAAACCTCCAGGTTTTTTTTTTATCTAATTGTGGCTGTAAAATGGGTGAAATTGTGAAGATTTTGGACGGTCACAATGCAAGGCCAGAGTGCTCTGTTTACCTCCATGGTGTTTAATGAAATGAACAGGCCTGAGATAATATCGTAGAAGAAGTTCCAACTGCTTCACTACTGTGTGGCTGGCTAGTGATAAATTCTATAGCTGCTGTTTGCAGCAGGAATTGGGGGCAGCAGTGTTTGGCTTGCAGCTCTGTAATCTAAGGTCAGCTTTACACACATGCTAGATGGCCATCTTTCATAGATGCTGCAGCTACATCCTGCCTTAAAAGTCCCTGGCAATTGGTTTAGATTGGGAACGGCAACCTCCAGAGGTCTAAGGAGCTGCACTATTCCTATCCTTGGATCTTGGAGGACTATACCCACTCATGTGATTCCCCCCACCCACAACATTTACCTGTTTAAAAATGGATCTCTAGTGACCAAATATTTTTTTAAAGTAAATGTTTTTTTGTATGTGTGGAAGTGTAGGGAGGCCTCAAAACATGGCAGACATGCTCCCTGATGGCACAAGAGGATTGTTTGAGGAAAATACTTTGAGAGATATTTGGGGAAGCCAAAGGCCACATGTTGGACCTCCTTGATCTAAATAACCTTAAGGTCCCTTCCAACTCGGTTCTGCGCTCACAGGTGGATTGGTATTTTCTGCAACCAACGTCCCAGCCCTGGGTCAGTAATCAAGAGTGTCCTGGAACTGTTCTTTCTTATCAGTGTTGTCACTTGCTTGATTGCTGAGCCACCCATTCCTTTTGGCCCAAAGCGATTAAGGGAGAACAAGCAGACAAGTGAGGAGAATGCTGCTACCATTTTTATTTGTTGGGTAGCCAACTCTTCATCTGGCAAATGAGTGGATGGTAGCAAGAGAGAGGAGGAGCTATGGCAGAAGTTCATGACAATCAGAGACGGGAAATTTTCCCTTTGGACATTTGCATCCTGGTGAGGAGATTCTGGGGGTTGTAGTCCAAACCATAACTTTTCCAAAGTTTAGTAACAATGGCTGTGAAGTAGTTGGTCTGCACATAGTATGGGGTTACCATGTGCATGATCAGTGAACCAAGGATGGATTATAACTTTTTGTCATATAAGTCTTGGTGGTTAGGCTTTCCAGGAAGGTCAAGTTACAGGAAAGGCAGCATTGACATTCTGCTTCATTCTCTTCATCGCAAAAGGTTGATACCAGGTTTTGATCTTCCTTCAAGGAGGAATCTTGCAAGGAACATTTCAAGGAGAAGTTTTCCTTGCAAAAGCTAAAGTATGCAAGGCAAAAGCAAAGCAAAATGTGTTGCTTATATACCACTCCACAGTACTTAAAGCAGTTTCTAGGCAGTTTACAATTTAATTATGCAGGCTACACATCTCCCCCCAACCTCAGAAGGATGGAAAGCTGAGTCAACCTTGAGCCGGCTACCTGAGCCCATCAGGATTGAACTGAAGTCATGAGCAGAGTCTTGACTGCAGTACTGCAGTTTAACCACTGCACTACAGGGCTTCAGTAAAAGGCTCTCTCATTTTTGAACTTGTCCTTACAGCTGGAGGAAGCAAAACATTTTGCGAAGATGGTGATTGACCTTGGAGAAGATGCTGGAGAGTTCCTAGCCAAGGGCTACCTAGCCTTGGGCCTCACGTACAGCCTGCAAGCAACTGATGGTAATAAATTTGATTTGTATCAAAATGGTCCGCTACAGTTGTCTTTCTGATTTCAAACAGCTGAATCAATTGAAATCTGGTTGTTTTATGAGCAAAGGAATTTGGAAAAATAATTTTTTTTTTTGAATTGCATCTCCTATAATCCCCTAGGTTCTGCAATCCTTGCAGTTTGAGGTTCTGGGAGTAGTAGTACAAAAAATGACTTTTAAAATCTCTAATAAGAACTACATGTTACGCTGAGGTCCACATTCTCTAGAAATTTTGTTCTCATTAGCAGCTGCAACAAGATTTGTTTGTTTTATGCATAGAAGCCTAGGTTTCCCATAATGAGACACTTAAGGCACCTAAAAATAGACAAATATGTGTCCCACTGAAATCACACAAGAACCATATAACAAAATGCTTCTGGATGCTTATAAACTAGAAACAAATTTCATGTATGTCCTTATTGTTCATCTCTACTGGCTAACATTTCTATCAGATTTGTACATGGAGGCTCCACTGAGTATAGTTGTTTTGGAGTGTAGAGTTTTTTACTATGGTGCTTGGATACCCACGGGGACGTGGCGCCGTGGGTTAAACCGCAGAAGCCCCTCTGCTGCAGGGTCAGAAGACCAGCAGTCGTAAGATCGATTCCACCCAACGGAGTGAGTTCCCATCGCTTGTCCCGGCTCCTGCCAACCTAGCAGTTCGAAAGCATGTAAAAATGTGAGTAGATAAATAGGTACCACCTTGGTGGGAAGGTAACGGTGTTCCGTGTCTAGTTGCACTGGCCACGTAACCACAGAATCTGTCTTTGGACAAACGCTGGCTCTACGGCTTGGAAACGGGGATGAGCACCACGCCCTAGAGTTGGACACGACTGGACTAAATGTCAAGGGGAACCTTTACCTTAGATACCCACAGGGCCTCGCTGAGAACATAATGAGCCAAGCTGCAACTTACTATTAAACTTCTTGTTGTTAGAAATTGGTAGAAGTGCTCTAGCATCAAAACATTAAAATAAGGCAAAAAGTGGAAAAGATTCATGTCATTTACCATAAAGGGATGAAATACAAAGAAACTGCATGATTCATGAGTACTGTATATAGTAAGGATGTTAGCTCAGTGGTTTAGGTATCTGGAGCCAAAGGCTGAGAATTCGATTCCCCATTGTGGTTACTGTGAGTAGAGCCAACCTGTGTGACCTTGGGCAAGCTACACAGCCCCAGGGAACCCCCAAAAGAAGGGAATGGTAAACTACTTCTGAATCCTCTCTACCTGGAAAACCATGAAAAGGGTCACCCTAAGTTAGAATTGATTTACCAATACATCATCATCATCATCATCATCATCATCATCAATGTGCTTCAATTGAAAATATATGTGGTCCTGTACAGGATGTACACTGTTAGAAGTTGTTAGACTGTGATGCTGTGTCAGCCCTAGCCAATGGGACCATAGTTAGAGGTCATGGAAGCAGCATCTAGCAATATATGCATGTTCCTGCCCCCGGTTTACAGACTAGATGAGGAACATATGTAATTAAGATACAAACTTCTATTATTCATTTAATATGGTCTAATGATCTGAGATAACCACCCAGAGTAGACCTTTGGTCTAGATGGGCAGGATAGAAATCCAATAAATAAATAAATAAAATAAAATAAAATAAAATAAAATAAAATAAAATAAATAATCAATGTGTGTGTCTATAGATATTTTCTTGGTCTGAAATATCTGTAACTAGTAACCTTTCCAACACATTTTCTCATTTAATGTTTAGTTTAAATACAGTTGCATTTGTGAAATGTATGGAAGGCCACAAATTGCTTATCCCTATCTTAGAAGATAACAAAAAGGGAACATTAAAGGTTGCCTTTCCTTCTAAAATGATAGCAGGTTTTGTGTATTAAATTGTTGTTGATGAGTCATTTCTGAGAAAGGACAGATGTTAGCTGCTTTCAGCACATACAAATTTCTTGCAAATCAGGGTTGAGAACTGTACAAACTACAGTAGCCTCTGAAGGCCATTTAGCAGCCCTTGAAGCTTTCCCATTGGAAGAGAGAGAGAGAGAGTTGTGCTTCCAGAAAACATTATCTAAAACAGGTTCTGTCCTGCAACTTGCTTTACTCCCAAACCCATTTTTAGAAACTAAATGTATTTTGAAGGTTACTTCTAGGTTTTCTGGAAGGGGCTGTTGCAGATTTTAGTGAATCTGGAGTGCATGCAGAAAATGGGAAAAATATTACCACCATAAACATAAATTTTGTTTACTGATTTGATTTATATACCACTCATCTAACCAAAGGCCACTGTGAGTAGTTTACAACATAAACAATAAATAATAAGTAATCAAATCATACATAATAAACTAAATCTCTATTTTGAAAGGGTGATGAATATACAATTGAATCCACAATTCACAGTGTCCAGATATAACAACAACCTTCTCCCTTGGGCAGAAGGAGTGGGGAATTTTCACTAGAGATAGCGTGGAGCAACAGGATAGAATCTGTAACCCAGTCTTTTAATTGTTCCTGTGACTTGCTCCTCAAGTTAATAACCTGAAATCCTGAAATATACTAATAACATTTCTCTTGGCACAAAGGCAAATAAATGGGGTAAGATTTAACTGCTTACCGTATTTTTCGCACCATAAGACCTACTAATAACATATTTCTTGGCACAAAGGCAAATAAATGAGGTAAGATTTAAGTGCTTAATTTCTGTGAGTCAAACTCCTGCTGTTAAAGGCAGAGCAACAAAAATGATAAAAAGAAAAAAATAACCCTTGCTAATCCCAGTATTCTAGAAAGAAGTATGTGCCAATTCTCATATAAGTATCTTTTTCAGAAAGAGTACCTAACGACACCTGTAACGTGTTCTTTATGAAAAATACGGGTAATTTCTGTGAGTCAAACTCCTGCTGTTAAAGGCAGAGCAACAAAAATGATAAAAAGAAAAAAATAACCCTTGCTAATCCCAGTATTCTAGAAAGAAGTATGTGCCAATTCTCATATAAGTATCTTTTTCAGAAAGAGTACCTAACGACACCTGTAACGTGTTCTTTATATCTTTCCCATATTGTCAAGAAAAATGACAAAAACGGCACCTGTGATGTCATTTTTCTAAGTTGGGAATGGGAAAGATTTAATGCTCCAGATGGAGTTTTGGCCTTCAGTTCCTATCTTCCCAGTATGCCCAATGATAAAGAATTATGGAAATTGTAGTCCACAACATTTCGAGGTCCAACTTCTCCACTGAGTGGCACAACTGTTTTTGTGGCGCTGTTCCCTCCAGTTCTCAAGGATGCATGGATGGATGGACAGCCGGCCAGCCTTTAAATGATGACGGAAGTCATTTCATCAAAGACTTGGTTGAGCTGTATCCTCAGGAGAACACTGGGCAGAAGAAGGTGCCACTTAGCCCACATCTGTCATTGCTCGTTTACGCTTTGGGCCAGAAGCCAAAGTCTATCCCAGAAGAGTTTCTGTTATCCCCCGAGGACATTTATGCCAGCTGAGCCTCTGGCAAAGTTTTGTCCCCTCCTTCCCAAGCCAGCAGGCTCCCGACACGTCTCTTCCATCAAGGGGACAGCAGGTGCAAGCCCTTCGCTTCTGCTTTCTAGCTGCCTTCCAACTGCTTTGCACAGATGACCCCGCAGGACTGCCAGGGCTGAGCAAACAGCTCTGAAAAACTGTCTCTGGAAAACCCTCGACATATGCGGAGGCAGAGCTAGGTAAATGGTTCCAGGAGATAAAACTATCTTGCCTGAATCTGTGGCAAGCTATGGGAATTAAGAAGCCTCCTTGCAGTTGAAATATTTGGGAAACGCAGAACAAATGAAGCTTTTTTAAAAGCTGGATTGCTGAAGTTACATAAAATCACTTCAAGCAAAAGTATTAGAAGTAATAGATTTGTTTTTTTTATTAATTTTCTTTTTTGTATAATAGGATATAATAAATGAAATTAATAAAAACAAAGGCAGGTTATTTTGTTTGCATCTGATTGTGTTGCCCACAGGACCCTGAAGGCAGCTTGCTACAATAGAGTAATACAGAAAACATAAGGCCATTTCAAGCCCAGATAAAATAATAAAACTATCACACGCACACAGGGTAAAAGTAATGGAAAGGATAGAATCTAGAGTAACAGAAGAATAAAGAAACATGGTCTGGGTTTATTATCCATACACCATCAATATATAGTTCAGCAGACTTTCTGTGGGAGGCGCTGTAATAGAGAAGAACATCTTGTTGGCATAAGTATCTCATCTGACATCAGTCTAACCCTTATGATAAAGAAGCCCCATCTGAATACGTGAAACAATATCTGAAATGAACTCCATCAACATGTTGTAGTAGTTTGGAGTTACTGTAGTACATTATTAACAGACCATAAAATACAGCGAAACACAATTCTGATATTACACCTTGGAAATATTTATTAAAAGACAAAACCAATAATACTTCTTTTGGCACTTAGGATTCGTAAGAAAACGGCATAAAACCTGAAATTTCCTAGCAAAATATGTCTTAAAGTGCCTTAGTAAGAAATTTTGGAAAGTAACTGAGTGTTATTTGTTACACCTAAGCAGCTCAGGTGTTACTTGCTACTTTTGGGTGTAACTTTGAAACTGCTCATTTACATTACTACTTATGCTAAAAGTGAGTAATAGCGGGTAACAATATTACATGTAACTAGTTACTTCCAAGTTCTGGGAATAGTTGGAGAGATCTGGATTCATATCCCAATTAGGCCATGTAGCTTACAGACAGACTTTTAGGTTAGACTCTCCTAGAGTAACCTACTTCACAGGATTGTCTGATGGTAAAATGGTTGTGGTGAGGACATATCTCTTGCTCTGAGCTTTCTGATTTTAAAATATTATGAATAAGTAAGATCTTAAAGTCTAGAAACCATCATGTAGGCCAGGGGGAGGCATTCTTTAACTTTACACGGGGTTTCATATTTATCCTGGTAGCCCTATGTTATCAAAAAGAAACAAATGGGTAGAGATGTCTGATTTTGCAGGACTAATCAGTTTGTAGATTTTTTTTAAACAAGGCAGAAGTGCCTTTTCATCAAGATCAAATGAGTAGGAGAAAAGCTTTTCAAACATGACGTACAATCCTTAAGGAAATGCTTCTTTAGAAGAACAAAAAGCCTGTTTTTCCCACTTTATAAAAGAGAAAAGAGTGCATTGTCATCAAATCTGCTGCCTCTGCCGTAATAAGAACTGTTTTTTGTTTCTTCTGTTGTAGCGACTTTGAAAAGCACACAAGATGATTTGCACCGAAAAGCATTACAGACTCTAGAAAGGTAAGAAAAACATAGAAAACATCCTATAAAACAGATCTTGTTAAAAAGTGACTTTATTGGACTGCCATTTCCTGTGGGATTCTGGGGGTAGTAGCTCAAAAAAGTATTTTTTCCGTGATCTGTTACTGACAGATGTTTGTTTTTCTCCTTTAACCCCAAACTCTGTGTTTTGGCTTAGTAAACTCTGAGGATTTTTTTTTAACATGGAATAAATATATGGTAGGAAAAAAAGAGGATGATTCTGACTTTTGAGTCAACAAATGTATATGCTCCGTCTCTGTGACAACCTGGAGTACAAGGAGGTGTCATTTGGACATCCCTCCTTCTCAGTTTTTAAGTGACACACATTCCTAGACTCATATGTAACATCTCAGTTACTGTGCTATTTAGATGTAATTGCTGCCCTATATTACTCTTAAACCATACTTATTTTTAGCCTTTTGACCTTTCTCCACCAGCCCTGACTTGTTTCCTTGATATCTTAACTCCAGCTTAGAAGCAGATAGATTGCTCATGGGACATAGCAGATACCCGCCATGAGCCAACAGTCAGTGTTATGAGAGTTTGGCTAGATCCTTGTGTCCTGAATCTTGATACTTATGCATGTCCACCAGATGCAGGAGAACCTACTGATGCTGAAATTGGTATTTGGCTGGGGTGAGTTGCAAGTGGTGTGAAACAGGAATTGATCCTGTCCATTGAACCTGCCCATTGATCAGGATATATCTGAGAAAGGTGCCTTCTGTCAGGTTGGATGTCTACATGATTGGCAGCAGGTTTCCCATAACTTGCTATATGAACCTTTTCAGTGAGCTTTTAAATTGGGAAGTTGACCTCCCCACAATGAAACATGCTGAAGTATGTCCAGGTTAGATTACTGTTGTGTGGTACATTGGTCTACCCTTGAAATCTGCTCAGAAACTCCAAGAATGTAGCAGCTTGGTGCTGATTAACCAAATCAGATCACATGTGCTCTGTATTGGTTAGATTGCTTGTCTCCCCATTTCTAGACCCAATTCTGCATTTGGCCTTTAAAGCCCCAAATGATTTGGGACCACATTATTGGAATCACTGTCTACAGTTTTTATTGAGCTTGCTCAAGCACTAAAATCAACATTGCCATCAACTGGTAGATACTAAGGATAGGGCTTTTTCAGTGGTGGCCACACATCATTAGAACTCCCTGTCCAGGGAGATAATGTATGATCTCAGTACAATGAAGTTTAAAGAAGAAATTATGAAGATCAGAATTTATTCCAGTTGAAAATTGTAACTGGACAAAAGTGTTTACCTGCTCTCATTGTTTGGAATGCTGGTGTATCTTCATGTGTTTTCTAATTTGATAAGCTGCATTGTAAAGACAGTGCAACCCAAAATCCTAAATATATTTTAGATGGATGGAATAGACAGAAATACCAGGGATCTAGATTTTCTACATAGGAAACATATATTCTGTCATAGACCTGTGACCCCTTCCCCAATGTCAATGCTATACTGAGCATATACAAATATAATCTTCTCCCTACCAGAACACTTTTTTTGGGCCTTATCCTTCTTGAGACTTTCTAGTTCCTTAGTTTCCTTTGATTCCTTAGTTGAAGATCTAGCAAGACTGCATAGTTGTGTGGGAGAGGAAATTTCAGCAGTCGTAGCTTAAATTAAAAGTACATTTAGGTCACTTTTAGAGAGGCACAAAAGCCATGTCCTCCTTTTCACCTGGTCAGCCTAACCTCATGGTCATGTCCAGATGTCATGTCGAGCTGGAATGGAAGAGGTGAATCGCCATTTTGGTACATGCTACCTAATTATTTTTGCTTGCAGTACAAATGGCTAAACACCGTCCTGAAGTAGTTTCAGAATTAATGTGTGAATCTGGCAGCCGCTGGCTTGTCTCTTTTCTAACAAGTCAAATACATAGCCATGGTTCTTTGTTGTCTCTGCATTTGCACATACAAGTGCATCACCCACATGTATGAGCAATCATTGAGAGAACACTTTGGTTAGCTACCTGCATGGGGGTGAGCTTAATCTCTAGTTCGGTGGTTACAAATCTTGGGTGAGCCACGTGTTCTTGGACTACAACTCCCAGAAACCCTGGCCAGTACAACTGATGGTAAAGGCTCCTGGGAATTTAGTCCAAGAGCACCTTGGTTATCCAAATATTGGGAACCACTGTTCTAGGTCTTAAAAAACCAACTAAAAACATGGATGTTTGTGCAGGCCTTCCCTCCAGTTAACACTTGATTGCTTTTCTTTTCTTTTCTTTTTTTCCTTTTCCTTCTCTTTTTGCCATCTTGAATAATTTATTAATTTATTAGCTCATGTAATATCTTTGTGTATCTTTGTACATTTTACCTATGTATTTGGAAGCTGCCTAGAGTGGTCGGAAGACCAGATGGGCGGAGTATAAATAAAATAAAATAAAATAAAATAAATAATAGGTTCTTCAGAAGGAAAACAAACTAGAGATTCCCTATACATCTGTTGTAGCCTGTATCCTTGACATATTAGAGAGACATTCTTTACTGACAACAAATATAAGAACTTGTTTGTACAAATTGATTATAAAATTGAATTTGACCAGTTGCATGAAGTTATGGCTTAGGAATATCTGGAATATTGCAGAAAACTAAACAGAAGACAGATAAAATAGTAGAACATCTCAGAGAATTTCTGTTGTTAACACAAGTGATTTCTGGTTCATATGTAGCTTACCGTATGTTTTAATATTGAAAGCCTTTCCTTAAGATAATCATTCTAAAGAACCTTAAAATAGTGTGTTTTTTGTTTTGTTTTTATTTGGGGGGGGAGCTACATAAGGGGAAGGTGTGCACCCAAAAATGGGAGACTAGTGGCCTTGGGTCAAAACGTAGCAAAATTATGTTTTTCTGTATTTTTAAGTAGTTATGCAGAAAGAGAAGTTGACAGTTGGAGATTATTGCAAGCAAATACTGCAGTAGGATTCCTAGTGTAATGCAGTGGATAGAGTGACATACTGTACTAGGGTGTACTAGGGTTCTAGCAAGCAGGGTTTGAATCCCTGCTCAGCCATGGAATCTCACTGGGGGAGTGGAACTGGCAAAGCAGCTCCTTAAATATCTCACTTACTTTGAAAGCCCTCTTAGGGTTGCTGTGAGTTGGTTCTGACTTGACAGTACAGAACACACACACAAAATATTGCAATGTGACAGAGAAAAGTTGTGCTTATTCCACTGTCTCTCTTTTGCACAGCAGGGATCCAGACCTTCCATGCCCTTCTAGGTGATTCGAAGTTCAGCTTTTCCTCATATGACTGAACTAGGGTGGTTTTTTTTCCCAGAGTCTTTCAAGTAAGAAGCCAGCCTCATTAGTGCCAATACAAAAAAGCTGCTTGTCTTGACTCATCATGCTTACAGCAAAGTCATTGAGAACAGCCTCTCCCAATGAAGCTACTGCATAGAAGTAGCCTTTTCCTCATTCAAATTTCCAAGCAGCTGGCCATAACTCAACTGCCACTCAGCATTAAAATGGCATGTTATAAATGGTTTAGGTTTAGTGTCTGTTTGTGTTAAACATGGAAATTTGGCAAATTTAACTGTATTTTGTCTTGTCCGGTTCAAACCTACCCACCCTCAGCTTTATTTTCTGATATACTGTACATCACAGTTTCTTTGCAGTGGCGTGAATAGAAATGTGTTTGCTTGAGGATGGGAAGAGGGTGGGCTGATTCTGAAAAAGAGAGAGGAAATCAAGAAATAGAGTGAATGGGTGTTCTGCAGGGATGTGAATGAAAGAGAAGTGTACAGTTCTGCATTCAAGAGAGACTTCTGTGATTATAAAGGAGTGGGTTTGCATTTTTAGGGCTCTCAGACCCCACTTTTGCCTTTTATTCAGATTTTTGGGCACAATTTTTTTGGCTTTGGGTGAATTGGCGATTTTGTTATTACTCAGGTTCACTGTGGCAGCCATTTTGTTAGTGGCCACACCACCCTATTTCCGCCATTCAGTGATGGTGTCCAAAGCACTTCTTCAAACATACCGTGGCCCTCTAGAATTGACCGCCAGACATTACTTTAGCAGACATTTCTTGACTGTATGGGCCAGCAAGCTGACTCAGTAAAAACTTTGTATCTTCTTACATTAGGTCCTCAATTGCAGACCAACACACCAATCTGTAGTCAAGCCCTTTCTTTTTTAAAAAAAAATTAGTGGGTCATTCAGTTATGTTTATGTTGTTATTACATAGGTATCCCACCCTTCCTTCAAGTCAGCATAAGATTTTGCATGTGTTGGGTTTTCTTACATCTTAGTGGACAGATCCTTCAATAGCTCTTAGGCATAGAGCTTGAAAAGGGTACCTTCTGAACTGCGGCACCCAGAATCCCTAGACAGTGTACTCTGTTCAGGCATGAGAATTAAATACGACCTCCATATTCAGCAGCAGTTTATCACTGAAGGCCAATTACAGAAGGGCTAATAGCTGTGTCGTGGGTCTCTCATTATACTGAGTCAATGAGCTTTCCAAAAGCATTATGTTGGCTACTGTGTGAAACTAGATTTTGATAGACTAAATAGATCTTTCCGTTTAGTCGTTTAGTTGTGTCCGATTCTTCATGACCCCATGGACCAGAGCATGCCAGGCCCTCCTATCTTCCACTGCCTCCCGTAGTTGTGTCAAATTCATGTTGGTTGCTTCGCAGACACTGTCCAGCCATCTCATCCT